AGAAAAAAGTGGATCATATATAATGTATGGATGGACTGAGAGATGGACTATAAAAATCCATATATACAGTAGCAGGTTATATTACTAGCTTGCTCTAAGCCTCTAAGAGCCTAGGATCAAAGCCTATACTGTCCGTCGTGCACGACGAAGATATCGTGCGCATCCAAAGTCCGAAATCGGCCACTGTATGGGCTTTCTTCTTCACTTTACGGTGACTAGTTGGGCAAACACTTGGATACACACTTGCACTGCCAACCACCCAGCTTGTCTTACAAATTGCAACCCAAATCTGAAAAGAAGCAGAGCACGCGGAGGCGAAACAACGGCCGGCCGGCCCACGCGCGGCAACAGCGATCCCACGGCGCCGGTGGTGCGGAACTGTGAATGCAGCTGTAGTGTTGCAATGGTGTGCGATTTCAGGCGGCGAGCATTCATCCCCAATATGTTCTGACCCGGTTCTTTTCTTGTTTCTCCGAGAGAAGGTAGACGAATGAAGAAGTCAAGAACAAAGAAAAAAGTCTCATAAAATGGAGAAAACAGAGGGAACAATTCTACACGGCTGAGCATGTGCCCTGTTTTTAACAATGGAAAAGTCATACCACAGGTAGGAACTCGAAAGTCTGAAACTGGTAAAGCATAATCTAGATGCAGAATGTGACAATAGCGAGATCAACCAACATAGTACTCTGCTAGCACAAAGGAAAAGGAACCTTATTAGCTCAGTATGAGGCATGCATCCCTGAATCCCTGATACGCTGAACGTCTCAATCATCAATGTCACGGAGAGAGTCAGCAATTTCCCCGAGGCCATCAAATGTGAACTCATTCAGCATAGAAAAAGAGCGGGCAAGCATCTGCTCCAGCCCAAGCTGCGAGCTCCGGACCACATAGGCGTAGCAGCCGAGAAGCTGAACGACACTAAAAGGAGGGGAGTCATTTGAGGAGAAAAATGTCGAGGAACCAATTGCTCCACCGGAGCACAGCTCCGTGCCGTCGCTGACTTGCTGAGGCTGTAGACGCGGACGTCGTAGGACATGTACTCGATGTAGTAGATGGAGTTGGCATCAACGGCCGCGAACTTGTCAGAGTCGACGGACAGGCACCTGCTGTTGCCGACGAAGAGGGCACGCCTGCCGATACTCTGCACCGGTTGGACGGCCATGTCGTCGCCGATCTTGAAGACCTCAATGCGATGGGGCAGCTTGAAAACGACCAGAATTTCTCCCGCGGATTCCACCAGGAAGCAACGGTTCTCGGCTTCTTGTTCTTCTTCTTCTTGGGTGTTGGAGAAATAGTCGTCAGTGAACTGATCCGACACCAGACTCGTCAGGATCTTGATGGCCTCAGGTGGCACAAGTGACGGCGACACTACCGTGGTCACGGGCTGCCACGTAGATGCCACCGACAAAAGGATTAGTGCCGTTGCCTCCATCCTCGTACGAGGAGAAGCTCTCGCTGTCGGGATCGGCCCAGTGAGTCGTGTCAGGATGGTCGCAGAACAGGACGAGCGCTGGCGGCGAGCAGCCGGTGCCGATCACATGAGCGACGACGACACTGACTAAGGAAGGCACGGGCGCCGCGAACCGGGTCGGCGTTCGGGTTAGCTGATTTTTTTGGTAATTTAAAATTCGGGTAAAAAAAATGCTACCTGATATTAGTTCTGAAAAAACACTACCCGTAATTTTAGGTACCCGATAATTTAGGTTTGGGTATTCCCGACATACCCGAATTTACTAAAAAAAATAGCAAACTACATAAATATTCAGTGGCAATTTATATATAATTTCAACAACAATTTATATAGAGTTTCAATAGCATTTTGTAGAGAATAATATATTACAGTCACTTGGTCACTTGTTCAAACAGAGAGAATTATATTATAATAAAGTGATAAGTTAAAGTGTTCAACTAACAGCACATGATAAATACAAGGAGACAGAGACAGATGTTTGGTTAGTTTGGGTACCGGGGATTTTATCTGAATTACCTAAACTAATTTTAACTAATCAAAAATTTTATCTGAATTTAGGATTGGGTACCTCGAGTTCAAGTAATTTGGGTTCAGGTTCAGGTAATTCGGGTATGGGCAACGGGTATCAGGTATTTTGTCCAGGAACCGGGTCAGGGATCCCGTGAACGGGTTGAGTAGGCACGCGGCGTGCGGGGAGCTTCTCTCCGCGAGGACGAGAGATCCGCCAACTGCGCCGGCGATGAGGTAGTACCTGCGGAGCACCGGCAGGCCCTTGTGGACGCAGCGGCCGGTGGCGGAGTTGACGTAGAGGCACGCGTCGCTCTTGTGGACCTCGTCGAGCATCACTCACTGGCGCGGCCGGAAGCGCCGGCTGTCGTTCTTGGGGTCGGCGGTGGAGGAGCGCCAGCCGCGGCACACGGCGCGGAGGTCCATGTAGTAGTCGAGGTCGTCGGTGGCCAGCAGGCGGTCAGCGATGCGGATGATGAGGTCCCCGGGGAGGGACGACCAGTCCGCCATTGCCGTTCGGTGCACAGGATTGCTTGAGAGAATGGGTTGTGGAGAGGTTCAAGCTGGGTCGCTATTCAATATAAATGATTAGTTGGTGGAGGTCTCGCGAGCATTAACCCATCGTTTGCAGTGGAGTTGAGGAGTTGGAACTCCAAACGTCCGCGCGGTGGGCGGCGGAGGCGGCGGCGGCTGCAATCACTGCTCCAGTTCTTGGGAAGATGAGACATGAAGACGCCACTCTTATCGTTCAACTTCCGACGACCCACGTCAGTTCTCCAGGTTAGCAATTGGGCCGCGTGTCCACCATGCTTGGTTTTGCAAGGGCCGTGGGATTTATGGGCCTAATAACGAACGAGCAGTCGAGCCCATGTAACCGTTCTCTCCATGAAATCCCGGCCCCACCAACACCAAGAACCGGCGAGTACCGAGGACAGGAGAAGTAGCTTCACGGAGGTTATTAACTGACATTTTCCCAAACGCTAATACTTGGACAGGGCCGCCCCCATCCAGACGCGCTCTTCGTGGGCCTGCGCAGTGGATATTTCCTGACGGTTTTTTTAATTTTCCTGATTGTACTCGCACCGTCAGGGAATTCCAGCTTTCCAGTAGTGCCAGAGGAAATGGAACCTGAGCAAGCTATATAATAATCAAATAGATCACATAAGATGCTGAATGTCTGAGAAGTCATCCGATTCGGAGTCATAGCCAGCAAGCTCATCGACCAATCCCGGGTGCAACCGTACAAGCTCATTGACCTGTTCAGAGCGAGAAAACATCTCTTGCCACCCAAGCTGAGAGTGCCGGACCTCGAAAGTGTAGCAGCAGAGGAGCTGAACTTCTGAGAACGGAGGGTCGACAGAGAGGGTGATGGGCTTGAAAGAATCTATGGCTCCACCGGCCCTCACTTCCGTCTCGTCCTTGAGGCTGTACACGCACACATCGTACCACGGCTCCTCCACGACGTAGTAGACGCAGTTGGCTTCCACGGACGCGAACTTGTCAGCGTCCACGGACAGGCACCTGCAGTCCCCGACGAAGAGGGCTCTCGACTGCCTAGGTTCTTCACACGTTCGAGCAGATAGCTCCCGGTGTCCATCTTGAACTTGAAGACCTCAACGCTCATCTTGAGGACGATCAGCATTTTCCCTGTAGATTCCACTAGGAAACAACGGTTCACGGCTTGCACTTCGGCGCCCGGAAAACACTCAGCGAAAGGCTTAGCCGCCAGTTCCATGATCTTGGTGGCCATAGGAACAAGAAGCGACGCCAATGATGCATCCTCTCGTGCAGCGGCGTAGATGCCTACTTCGACGGCTATCCTGACTGAAGGAAAATCAAAGTCTTCCTCTTTGCGCTCGGCGAAACTTTAGCTGTCAGGATGAGCCCGGTAGATAGAATGGTCAGATAGCAGGACGAGCGTCGGCGAAGAGCCGATCACATGAGCAGCGACTTTCCCCTCGGAAGGCACGGGCGCCTCGAAACTGACCATGGCGCCGGTGAAGGGGTTGAGGACGCGCGCAGCGTGCGGGGCGGTCCTCTACGCGAGGACGACCATGCCGCCGCCGGCGCCTGCGACGACGAAGTACCTGCGGAGCAGCGGCAGGTCCTTGCGGACGAAGCGGCCGGTGCCAGCGTTAACGAAGAGGCGCGCGTCGCTCTGGTGGACCTCGTAGAGCATGGCCCACTGGCGCGGCCGGAAGCGCGGGTCCCGCGGGCTGCTCTTGGGGTCGGCGGTGGAGGAGCGCCAGCGGCGGCACACGGCGCGGAAGTCCCCTTGTAGTAGTCGAGGTCGTCGGTGGCGAGGAGCCGGTCGGCGATGCGGTTGATGAGGTCGCCAGGGAGCGACGACCAGCCGGCCATTGCAGTTCTCGGTCGGCGCACAACTGGCTTCAGGCTTGATCGGGGAAATGGATTGGAGGCTTCGGAGCTCAGAGAAAGGGCTGCGGACTGTGGAGAGGTTGAAGCAGGGATCATTTCGATATAAATGGTTGGTCTTGCGTGCATTAACCCATCGTTTGCAGCGCGTTCGAGGAGTTGGAACTCCAAACGTCCACCAGGTGGTGGGCGGCGACGGCGGCCATTACTCCAGTTCTTGGGAAGATGCGACATGAGCACGCCGTTCCGATCGTTTGTACTTAGTAGTATTTACGACGGGCGATTCTTCAACTTCCGACGACCCACGGTCTCTGCAGGTTTACAGTTGGGCCGTGTGCCCACCATGCTTGGTTTTGCAAGGGCCCGTGGCATTCGCGGGCCTAATAACGCACTGGGCAGTCGAGCCCATATAACCGTGCCCCGATCTCCTCTCCATGTCCTCCTGCCCCACCACAACCGCGCGCTCGAGCACTCGAAGTAACCGAGTTGTTGACGCTCAAATTTGGCTCAGTTTGCATTTACATCGACACGTGGACACGAGTGTGCACGAGCAACATTTTCCTAAACAAAAACATGTTCTATACCGCCCAACGATGCCCATGATTATTCGCGCTCTGATCACTAGGAACCCTTCTCGACAGCCTGATCACCGGTAGTACGCCCTGTCCAGCAGAGCCACCGGCCTGAGCTCTCCACCGTGGAGGAAGCTGGAGTACCACCGCGATGAGTGCCTCTGGTACCTCGTCCTCGCTGGCGAGCTGAAGTCGACGCCGTAGAGGCCGAACCGGAGACGGTAACCGAACAGGTACTCGAACATGTCTAGGAATGACCAGACGAAGTACCCACGCACGTTTGATCCACCCCTGGGTGCAGAAAGGAGAGTAGATTATATTTCAGAACAAGGATGCCATCATTTTCAGAACTCACCTGCTGCCTGACACAGTCGTGATGAAAACTTCAGTAAAGCAAGAACCTCGAATGCAGAGTTTACTGAATAGTATTGGTACCTGATGGATTGAAGCGTGGCCTCGATGTAATCCTGCAAGAACTGCGACCTGAACTCGTCGTCGTAGCTGTTTCCACCTGACGGATCAGTTCGGTCGGCAGCTCCTGATATGAACAAGAAAAATGCACAATATGACTCTATACTCTTCATATGATGTGCATCGGCTACGAAATGTTGTTCATTTCTTGTGAGAGAAATTCTGGACAGAATTCTGGCCAAGTTACCATTTTCATGAATCATGACTGCTGGGTTCTTGTATTTCACTCGAACATGCTTCAGCAATTTCTTCAGAGCCCATGGTTTGGATGTCTTAAAATCAATTGTCAACCTGATCGGGAACTGGTTGCCTGACATCAAGAGTCGTACTGCAAAAGTTGAGCTCATCCGTGATTACAACTGTACTTTGACCATTACAAAAGTATATAAGCTCTTAGGGCTCTTACTATCAAATTTCACAGCTGCATCACCCATGTAGTCTCTCAGTTTCTGTTTCAGCCGATTAAGATCGGCTCTCACATGGACAACAATGTAGTGGTTAAATCCAACGAAATCGAATGACCTCTTTACTTTTTTCCTTTCTTCATCAGTGAAAGATGGTAGCCTTGACCCCACATTCTTCTGCATCACTGGAGGGTAGTCACCATAGACTATAGGATGCATGAACCTGAACCATAAACAGACGTTTTAAATGCAGTTACACAGTAAGTTGTGTGCCTAAAACCTGACAATAGAGTGGAACTAACCATCCAATGTGGAATTCCTTCATCCTCTCAGCTGCTGCTGCATCTTCCGGAGTCTGTGTTGCGGGCTCAAACCACCAAGCAAGCAAACTCAGTCCAATTTGTCCTCCTTGCTCAGCCTGATCAGCAAGCAAAATGTCATATCTGTGAGAATGACTCATCCAGCAAATGTCAGTTTTGCTTTGAGAAGAGATGGCAACATATCAAATACACCTGGTACTTCTCTCTATACAAGGACACAGCCGAAGCATGTGCAAGAAGAAGGTGGTGTGCTGCTATGTATGGCTCTGTGGTGGAGTTGCCGCCGTTGCAAGGGAAGCCGAATGGCGATGAGCACCGCTGTGGTGGCAGAATTCCTTCGTCATATCCACCAACCGTTTCAATGTTAGGCTCATTGACAGTGCTCCAGTACTTCACCCTGTTGCCAAAGTTCTTAAAGCACGCATCTGCGTACCCAGTGAAGTCCGATCTACACAAAGGCACAAAATGCAAATGTAGTAAATAACCCTTCAATTCTTTGTAGACGTGGTTGCAGTAAGGTTCAGGGTTAGGAGGTAATGACAGGTACATGAATTTATGACTAATCAGCCCATTGTATTCATCTTGAAGTGCCTGAGGAAAATCGAAATGATATATCGTTACATGAGGTTGTATTCCTACATTAACAACAAAAAGAAAAGATGCATCATACATAATTGCATAGTTGGAGACTCAAGTACCAAATATGATTGACAAAAAATTCAAAGAAAAGATCAAATACCATAGCTCAGAAGTTCATCTATCAGATTGTTGTAGTACTCCAATCCCTTTGGATTCACAGCTCCCCGACCATCTAAGTGGAGTAAAAATTTTATATAAAAAATCAGTAGAGTCGAACCGACAATCGAATTCTGAAACACACTAACGTACTTTTTGTTCAGTGGTTCAGTTGATACTGTGTCTAAGGTGTTACCGGGAATAAGTCGAGGCCAGGCAATCGACATTCTATATGCATCGACACCTAATTCATGCAAAAGCTTTACATCTTCCTGTTATAACATGTAAAATAACACATTGATGTAAGTTTTTTTTTTATAAGTAATTGCTGTAAGTTTGAAACCATGATTTTCATCAGAAAAGTTTATTAGCAAAATTTTTGCTCAAAAACTTGCCTTGTACTTGTGATACTGATCTGCTGTTACGTCGCCTGTAGCATCGTCAGAAGAATGGCCTGTGGTATTTAAGTAGCACCTTCAGAATTATGAAGCTGAAATACACTAGGATTACTAATCAATAATAATGGGACCATAACCTTCATGTGTGAATGTGTCCCAGATGCTAGCATTTCTTCCATCCTCAGCAACTGCACCTTCAACCTGCATAAGTCAACAGATGCTCATCTAGTCATCTCAGTAAATAACCAAATTTTGGGGAACATAAAATAGGATTTTTATCATTTTGTATGAGCTGATATTTGATTTTCCTCCCTGATTATACTACTTTTCCAGCCCTTGAACTTGAACATCCGTACTGTAGTTTTCTCACAGAAAATAGAAGAGATCGTCTCAAGAACAATCCAATTGCAGAGGAAAAATATGCACCAAACATCATATCTAATTGCATAATGATTGAATGTATGAGAGTAAAAAACGTAACCCCAGTGCTACTTTTGCAGAATCAGAATTTCAAACAACGTGACTTTATTGCAATGAACAGGGATTAAAGATAGATCCACAAAATTAAACTGTCTGACAGAGATATATCGTTAAGGCAAGACTAACCAACAACACAATGCCATCTAGCTAACCAATGGAGGAAAGAAAGGCAAGGACTTTCGGAAAAAAAATAAAGGCAAGGAAGTGGCACATTGTTCGCGAAGTCTATTGACAAACTTCTCAGCTACTGGTAGATTACTAGAGCAAGAGGGGCGCCACAAAGAAAAGCAATACACATATGTCTCTATCAGCACGGAGATGCTGAACTCATGTGATCGCTTCAGAAATGACACCGCACGAATGGAGATCAAGAAAATTCAAAATGAGGCGAGTCTCCAGAATCTCATATGATCGCTTCAGAAATTTCAGGTCCATGACTTTTTGTTCCTTACTTTACGTTACATCTGATAGCTCCTTCACTTGGAATCATCGAGTTGCATTTATTTTTCGAAAAAGCGTACTGATGTAGTGTAGGAGAAGAAGAAGAGAAAACGACTGGATGAAGCCAAGGCAGTAGCTTGGAAGAAAATTGGTAAAAGAGACTGATTTACTGAAAAAAATTCTTATGAAAGCAAAATTCTCTTTTATCAAAATTACTTTAGAGGAAATTCCAAATCTGTTTGACTTTCCTGCCAAGGTTTTCAATTTCGGTATTACAAAAAATTCAGCCACCCCCAAAATTACTGAATTTCGCAAAATTAGGCCGAAATTTCGCCGAAAGCTTGTTGAGAGACTTGCACATGAAGTATGCTTTTTCTAAAAACATTTAGATCTAAACAATATTAACATGATTTATGACACATCTATTAAGTAGAAGAATATGCAACATAAACAATACAAAATATGATATTAGAGTTATATAGCATATGTATTAGTGTATTACAAAATTTTAAATTTTTCTTTCGGACACCATTGAAATTATCGAAATTTGCGAAATTTCGATGAAGTTTTGCCGAAATTTCGGTGAAATTTCGCCGAAATTGTGAACCCTGTTTCCAGCCACTACTTTACATGAAAGTATTTAGATTTGTCATACTCATCGAAAGTAGTTTTTTCATCATCAGAAACAATACTTTATAAGTACAAGAAAAATTAATGGCCAAGGGTGTCCATTAGATATTTTTTTTATGTGTAAATTGGAGTATTGGACCGGAATGGCTTCGTGTAGTTTTCTAACACACATTCGCCTTTCGCCACATGGGAACATACCTACCTGGTAGGCGGAGGAGCCCGCGCCGAACACAAACCCCTCTGGGAAGTCACTCCGGGTTATCGAGGCCGCCGGCGCCGCCAGCACGCCGGCCAGGAGGAAGACGAGAGCAGCACCACAGGAATAATGCGTCTTCGCCGCCATCGTGTTCAGTGATCCAGCGCGCCGACCTCCGCGGGTATCTTGGGCCACCGCGCGCGCGGAGGGGTATTCGGTAGGTGGGACAACGTGATGCGGGACCAGTGGCGCATATGGTGAGCGCGCGAGCGCGACCCCGTCTCCCTGGGCTCCAGCATGCGTGGGGGCGACCGCAAGACTATAGAGCGAGTACGTGGAGCTTCTGGTTCGATGGGAGTAGCAGCATGCAGAGATGTCACTTTAATTGACTAGTCATCGCTGATGTCAATAAGGAAAATTTGTTCCATTTTCGTTAAGGCTTGATATTCATTTTGTTCATCAGATATCGTCCAAGATTCAATTTTATGTCTGAACGGTTCAAAATGGTCATTTCAATTCTCCAACTTTACTGAGGGCCTGTTTGGAATGCAGTAGTTTATAGGAATTATGTAAAAATTTCATAGAAATCAGTTTAAAACGTAGGAACATGAAAAATTCCCCGTGTTCCAAACATGGCCTAGGAGTATGTACGTCTCGTGTTTTTTCTCATAAATGTCAAAAAACAAATAATAAATTCAATATTATATGTCTTTGAACCGTTGACTCTTTCATTAAAAACAAAAATTTCTACTATCTGAGTTGATGATGTACTTATAATTAGAAACAAAATTCGTTATTATTAAACCTGGATCAATCCATGGTCTACAAATCAAACAATTAGATAGTATAAAAATTAAAATTATGATATATTTACGAGAAAATATTCCAATAAATGCCATGGTTATCATAAAATAGATTACAAGTTTTAATTTTTTTAGAAAAAATAAAATATAAATAAACATGTAGGCTGTAGCATTCCCGTTGACACTTTTTTCATGAATTTTATGATTACACGGTACAACTCAGACACTCACAACGCACACACACTTACCTATATAAACGCAATCGTAATACACAGACATATTTTTTTACTACGCATATAAACGGAGAAATATTATTTATACAGGCAGTGCACAGTAGCATAGGTGAGACCGTGAGACATAGGAGACGTGGAGAACGGGGGCATGATGATGCATGAACACGCAAGCGTATGTATGTCTCCAAAGTCCCAACACATCAATCGCTGAAATCGATGGTGGCGGTGGAAAGGATGTTGTCCCCGGTGGTGGGGTGCGCCGCCGGCACGTCGTTCACCACCGCAGTCCCCTGCTGCCACACGTGGGTGAACTTGCTCCCCTGCTTCCCGGCCGGCAGCGCCAGCGTCGCGTACACCACCATCTCCTTCCCGTCCGCGTACTCCGCGGCCACGTCCGACACCGGGAACGCCAGGTCCTCGGGCGCCGCGGGCGCCATGGGCGGCGCGTAGCTGTCGAGCACCGTCGGGTACGCGACGAGGCTGCCGTTGGAGTGCTGGAACGCGACCACGGCCTGCGTGCCGACCATGCCGGCGCGGCCGCTCGGGTTGATCCCCCACGCCACCCACCCGTCGTCGCCCTTGGCCTGCGGCGCCCGGAACGCGACGGCGACGGTGTTGGTGGCGGCCGTGTAGTTGTAGTGCAGCGTGGCACCGAGGCGCGGCAGGTCCGCGCACGACGCGTAGAGGCGCTGCTCGCCGCCGGTGCCCGAGAAGGTCTGGCTCGAGCACGGTGCCGCCTTGGCGGCGGCGCGGGTCAGAGGAAACGACGAGCAGGTGACGACGACGGCGAGGACGATGGCGAGGGAGACGGAGGCGCTGCTGGCGGAGCCACGGCGAACAGTGGAGGCTGCTGCTGCCATCCCGATCGTCTCAGGACACTCTCTGGCTTGGCTTCCTACGATGTTGGATGATCGGATTCACAGATATCGCCCGTGGAGTTGGTGATGTGCATGTGATGGTGAGAGGAGCTGCGTCGTGAACATACATATATAGGCGGGTTTGGAAAGAGGGGGTGATGGGGGGCGGGTAGAACACGGTAGAGTTTGGTTGGGAGGTTGAGAGCGGGAGTCGCATGGAACGTAATTAAATGCACGTAAAACTCACGTCTATCTGGGTTGGTAAGACGCTTGTGTGATTTGCGTCTCTGGTCGTCTGCGATGCAGTTGCGACGGTTGTGAACTCTGCTCTACTCATGTCAAGTCGATTTGTGTCATTGTGTGCATATGCCGGATTTTTATTCTAGAAGCACTAGTCGATTTCACAATTGATTGACAAATCGGTAGGTCATCTAAAAAATTTGATGACCAGTCTGTTTGCGAGCATGGTGTTTCTCCTTGGCAGATTTCACCATATAAACATTGGCAGCCAAGGACGTTGCAGGTTCAGGTTGAGAGCCCAGCACTCAAGAGCATCGGTTTGGTTGGGCTCTGCTAGTGCAACGCTACTGTGAGCCGGAGTCGCTGATGAAGCCCTGAAAAATATGGCTTCATCAGCTCCTGCTGTTCAAATAAATGCATTATCAGAGTATTTTTCATACATAATTTAATAAATTTTATGAAAAAATGCAAATTTTGTTTTTTTTTCTAGCACAAGACCTAGAATACACGGGTCGTAAACGGACCGAGACAGCGCAACTCTACAGAAACCGGCCCAGCTAGTTTGAGGAGTCCGGACCAAGACAGCGCAACTCTGCAGAAACCGGCCCAGCTAGTTTGAGGAGTCCGCCTGGCAAGTTCTATTGGGTTCCGCCCCAGAGAAGCCTAGGGTAGCAAGGATATCCCACTTACGTGGTGAAGAACAGAGAGTTTTACAAGCAAACCACAAAATGGTAGCTAATCGTGCTTGCGTGACGAAAAACGATTAGTTTCTAAATAAACTAGAACAGGAGCAATCGAAGCTCTCGACCAGAAGGAACCCCATCGGGATAAGGATGTGGTCAGGTTGTCGTAGGTTGGCCAGCAATCCTACGATGTCATCCTTGTCGTCGGATCAAGCGATGAACAACAACGTTTGGAGAGATTAAGTCAAAAAAAGATAAAAGTAAATTGTAATTAAAATTAATTGTGTCTATTGGGCACCTCAATCGGCTCTACTCCCTATATTTATAAGGAGAGAGTGGTCTTACCCTAGAAAGAGTAAAAAAGCCCTTGTTTTTGCAGGTCTAGGACTAAACATCTTCTAAAAATCATAATTAATTTTGGACTTCAAACGAGGCTATCAATATACGTTTATCGATCATAAACAGCTCGACGAGAGGAACACAATGGTGTAATCTCTCCTTCCATTTGAGAAAATTGTGAGAAAATTGGAAAACCACCAAATCCGGCCTAACCTGTTTTGGGAACTGGCTTGCCTGTTTCTGCTACATCAGCCATCCAAAAAGCTATTTTCTTCGTCTAGGTTGTAAATACGATGATCCAAATATGCCTCAACGAAACATGATGGCGGAATCCGTTATACATTTTGAACAATTTTGGGTGTCGACAGTACCATTACATTATCACAACCTTTTGTCATTTTCCTATAACCGCTGACTTTTCTAAAACCCCAATAAACACCCAACCACACGCTAAAACTAGCTTATTCAACTCGTACCATATTTACCCAAGAAAAATCATATTTAGGCACTGCTATATACCACCCAACTAACCGTGCATATACATTCTCTATTCTTTCCACCTCAAGAGTGTTGATCACCAATTTACCAGATATTCCCCTCGAGCCGGAGCGTGTTGTTGATCACTGTGAATATGCTCCCTCAGGTAGAGCAACTGGCCTCAGCTCGCCACCCCGGAGGAAGCTGGAGTACCACTTGGCCGAGTGCCTCTGATACCTTGTCCTCGCCGCCGAGTTGAATTCAACGCCACAGACGCCGAAGCGCATCCTGTAGCCGAATAGGTACTCGAACACGTCCAGGAATGACCACACGAAGTAACCTTGCACGTTTGATCCGTTCCTGTGAACAAGAGAGATCAGTGTGTGATAAGGTTCCAGAGCAAAAAACGGCACCAATTTCAGATAGCTCATCGTATCAATTGCATGCATGCATGATCGTCAATTGCAAAGCTGAATGCTATTAATTAATTGCTGTACCTGATGGATTGAAGTGTGGCTTCGATGTAATCCTGCAGGAACTGTGACCTGAATTCGTCGTCGTAGGTGTTGACGCCGGATGGATCAGACAGTCCAGCAGCTCCTGAAGTGACCACGATGAATGTGGCACATGATCGAGTACAATGAAACATAGTCCATTTCTTGGGACAATACATACTTTAGGGTATCATTAGTGGCAAGTTACCGTTTTCATGGATCATCACTGCAGGGTTCTTGTATTTCAATTGGAGATGCTTCAGCATTTTCTTTAGAGCCCAGGGGGTGGATGTCATAAAATCGGCCGCCAACCCGAACCCGAACGGGAACTGGTTCCTTGACTTGAGAAACGGCACTGCAAAATGAACTAGGACGTCATCCGTTGTTCCGATTGTATTCTGGAGCATGACAGCTAAAAGTAAAGGCCCTAAGATTCTTACTGTCATATGCCACAGCTGCATCAGCCATGTAATCTCTCACTTTCTCATCTAGTCGGCTAAGATCAGCTTTCACGTAGATGGCAACGTAGTGGTTAAATCCGACAAAATCAAAAGATCCCTTTATTCTTTTTGCCTCTTCATCCGTGAAGGATGGCAGCCTGGACCCTACATTCTTCCTCATCACTGGAGGGTAGTCTCCATACACCATAGGATTCATGAACCTGTATTATGCATGAACACATGTTTTACATGTAGTCACACAAGATTTTGTTTGTATGAGACTTTAGATTTAGAGTGGGTCAAAATCAAACCATCCTATGTGGAAATCATTCATCCTTGCAGCTGCCGCGATATCATCGGGAGTCTGCGTTGCAGGCTCATACCACCAACCAAGCAAGGTTAGTCCAATTCGTCCTCCTTGCTCAGCCTGATCAGTGAGGAACAAAGCAAAGAATCGTATAAAAATGCTTCATCCTAAAAGGGCAGTTCTACTGAGAAGGTATTGCAGTAGCTCAAACCTGGTACTTCTCTCTATATAGGGACACTGCAGATGCATGTGCAAGTAGAAGGTGGTGTGCTGCTATGTATGGCTCTGTGGTGGAGTTGCCTTCATCACAACCAAAGCCAAAGGGGAATGAGCATCGCCGTGGCGGTAGGATTCCTTGGTCAAATCCGCCAATTGTTTCGATGTTAGGCTCATTGACAGTGCTCCAGTACTTCACTCTGTCTCCAAAGTTCTTGAAGCACACATCTGCATACGCTGTGTAGTCCTCTCTGCATCAAGGCCCACAGTCCAAAAGCAAATGTCACTACATCTCTTTTGGACGTGGCTACAGTATGTGTGGAGAATTGGAGGCAATGGGAAAGTACATGAATCTAGGACTAAGCAGGCCCTTGTACTCATCTTGAAGAGCCTGAGGAAAATCGAAATGATAGATCGTTACGTGAGGTTGTATTCCTGCATAAACAGAGAAAATCACATCATATAAATCTGCACAGCTAGATACTTCAGTGAACAGATCAGACTTGCACAAGGTTCCAAGAAAGATCAAATACCGTAGCTAAGGAGTTCATCTATCAGATTGTTGTAGTACTCCAGTCCCTTCGGATTGACAGCTCCTCGGCCATCTATATCGAAGTAACAATGGAACAAACACAACCAGAAAATTCATGGTGTATGCCAAATTGAACTTCCAAAAAAGAGAGCACGTGGAAGAAACAAACGCCAATTTTTCTGAACCACATTTTCTAACATATGTTGCTGTTCAGTGGGTTTATTGGTACTGTATGTAAGCCATTAATTACCAGGAATAAGTCGAGGCCAGGCAATCGACATCCTGTAGGCATCAACACCCAGCTCATGCAAAAGCTTTACATCTTCCTGTTATTAAACGTAAATTTTCTTTACCTGTTAGTTGAGGCTTCTTATCTTAATCTCTAATCTGCAAAGTGCGTTTAGCAGCACTGTTGCTCAAAAGTTACCTTGTACTTATGATACTGATCCGCAGTTACATCACCTGTCGCATTGTCAATAGAATAGCCTGTGAAATTTCAACAAGCTCCTGTCATTAGAATTAATGAAGAAGCTGAACAGCACCACAGATGTAGAATTGCGTACCATTAAGCGACCAAACTAACCTTTATGTGTGAATGTGTCCCAGATGCTAGGCTTCCTTCCATCCTCCGCAACTGCACCTTCAACCTGCGCACAAGTCAGGGGGCACTGAGTTTAGTAAACAACTAGAAGTAGATTCTAGTGAAAGAAATGAAATAGTATGTTATTGTAAATTTTGTAGTTTGCCCTCAGAAAATAGACGCACATGTCTCAGGAACAATACCATATACAGAAAACATGAACAGTTCCATCCAACACAAAACAGTGACTGGTGAGAAATAGAAAGCGTAACCCAGTGCAACTTTTCAAGAAGGAATCAGAATTCCGGTACACGTATGCAGAAGTCTTTCAAACGGCATGGCTTTTTCCCTATGTATCCCCTGTAAAGCTTCTAAAAGCTCCTGTAAAATTTGTCGTGCCGTTTTGGGCAATTCTCAATAAAAATTCAGGTGCTTGAAAGAAGTAGTCACTCATTTGATTGATCGGATGTCTATAAGATAAGAAAAAACAATGTTGAGGAATTTAAGTTGTGGACCAGAACCTAAAATATGTGGGCCAAAAACCTAAAATATGTGGAGAGGCTCTGACAGCAATGCCAAAATGAAACCTCTGGTGGCCTGAAAAAAATGCAACAAGCCAAAAAGAAAGGGAGGACTCGGTATCATCAATCTTAGAAGCCAAAACTCAAATCTACTCCTTAAACACCTAGACAAATTCTACAACAGGAAAGAGATTCCTTGGGTCAAGCTTGTTTGGCATGCTCACTACTCCAATGGTGACATCCCACATGCAACTATGGATAAAGGGTCTTTTTGGTGGAAGGATATCCTGAAACTTTGTGATCTCTTTAGAGGAATTACTAATTGCAAACTCGGGGATGGATCTACTGTTCTTTTCTGGTCAGACCTTTGGAATGACAATGTCATGCAGAGCAAGTTTCCAAGACTTTTCTCTTTTACCAAAAACAAGAAGAATTCTGTGTTGCAGTTCCTTTCAAACAACCTCTAGTCACAATTCCACCTTCCTCTGTCCGAACAACCTTATCAAGAATATAAAAAAATGCAAGATTACATTCAATCTATACAGGTTTAACAAGATACAAAAGACTCTTGGTACTATATTTGGGGAAGCAGCAGCTATACATCTTCTAAATTCTACAATTTCCCCTACAGAAATGTTCAGCCCCCTACTCCTTTTCTGTGGATCTGGGACTCAAAATGCAGTAACAAACTTAAAGTCTTCTCCTGGCTCGTGATTATGGATAGGCTAAACACAAGGAACCTTCTTAAAAGGAAAACGCACAAGTTGGAGGGCAATAACTATAACTGCATTCTCTGTAATCAGAATGTTGAGAAAACTGCTTTCCACCTCTTCTTCAGCTGTCCATTTAGTTAGGCCTGCTGGCAACACTTGAACATGCACTGAAACTTTCAAAGTGATTTCTCTCAAATGATGATGCAACAACAATATCAAAATCCCTTCTTTATGGAGATCTTCATCATTGTTGCCTGGCACATATGGAAGCAGTGAAATAACTTTATATTTGACAGAGGACGACCCTCTTTCTCCTCCTGGAAATGCTCGTTTTTGGATGAGGCTAGACTTCAAACTCTTAGAATGTCTGAAGACAAGCGCTTTGTTTTCCTCCTTCGTATACTCCTTTTCTTAGTTCTTAGCTGACCAATGGCTCCCTCAGCTTCTTGGGTGATTTTTGTTTTTGTTGTTCTTTCTCCTCTACAGTTTCTGGCTTTTGCTTTTTAACAAAATCTCACAGTGGGGGCCTCCCCTACTGTATTTTTTGCTAAAAAAAAGATTTGTAAGGACTTATAGTATCCAATGATTATAAGTTTATAAGCATAAATAATATAATATAAAACAAATGAATGATCAAAGTGTAATCTAGGAGACCGTATCATTCTAAACTGCGCGAGATAAAATGGACCGGAGGGAGTATGTGTTAGTAATTATTTCAAAAACAAATTAAAAGGGTAGAATTGTACTTTCGCTGCCCTTAACTCCCTGTTTGATTACTCTGATGGATGTCTCGCTGTCGACGACCACTTCTCCGATCGGTGCGCCGGCCAACAGGACGGCCCCCTCGAGATCCAATTCCTCCCCCTGCACCTCCCGCGCGATCTCCTCTTTCTACTGTTTCTGAAGAGGAGACGGCGAGAAAGAATCCGAGGAAAACCGCTGGGCACGCAACGCACGGCGAGATGGAATGGGTCCTGCATGCTGGATCAGTCGCGAGGCATGCAGCTTGATCTTTGGATCCATCTGAGGTGCAGGCCCATGCGCCCCTGTTGGCGCCCATGCGCACGTGACACCTACGCTCGTCCATCTGCAATGCGGCGACGCCTTGGCGCCATCCGTAGCAGCGCCGCCCGCTCGTCGCCGCCGCCGGCGGCGGCGTCAACAACTCCCGTGTATGAGATGGAACACACTGCGACTAGCAGAACCAATACTACTACTATGGCCTCCATTAGAATCCTCTGCCACTTTCCTAGAAAAAGCACTTTTGGAACTGAAATCGATCAGCTTCTACCTTCTAGCTGCAGGCTGGCGACAGTGATTTGAAGGATGGCTGCGAGCCCCCACAGACCGGCGGTCGACAACAGGCGACCAAGAAGGACGACCTTAAACTACCCTTATTTGTTAACTTCTAGTTTTAATAAAGTCCAGTAGGGGTAAAACCCCTCCTGTATCATAAAAACAATCTACCCTTATTTATAATAGATTGCAATAATTCTTTTCTTTTAAAGATCAATGGTTCAGAATAATTCGATGAGAGGATCCGGTGGTTCCATCCAAGCACAGTAACAAACCTATAAAAAAAAAGACTAAATAAGGGGCCGATGTCATGTAGCTGAACTGACGGGAGGGGGAAAAGTGCTAAGAAAATGACATCGTTTGTGGAATCCATGGGGAGTGACGTGCTAAGAAAATGACATCGTTCTTTCGTTTGTGAAATCCAATGGACAAACATGTCCTTGTTATCCAAAATTTTGCAAGATTTTTCAAGATTCCCCGTCACATCAAATCTTTGGACGCATGCACAAAGCATTAAATATAAATAAAAAATAAAACTAATTACACAGTTTAGACGAAATTCACGAAACGAATCTTTTAAGCCTAATTAGACTATGATTGGACACTAATTGCCAAATAACAACGAAAGTACTACAGTACTATTTTCTAAAAAATTTCGCCAACTAGTGGACGAGCAGCAACCACCAGCAGGTGCAGGCCTGCCGCACGTACTTGTATCTTGTGGGAGCACGGCTCTGGTACAAACACAAATTACAAATGCGTGTCCCAGTCAGAGTGCAGCTACTGGGTCTACGGCTCTACGCTTCTAGGAGGAGCATGGGCTCTTCTTGTTGCATAAGAAGGGCGAGTTGCCATTTGCAATCAGCATATAGTTTATTTAGACACCTGATGAGACTAAGAGATGGAGTGAAATGACTTAAGCTGCGCAAGCTGCGCCGGCTGTGCTTTGATCTCTGAAGGTGAAGGTATACGTTAAAAACTAGGGTAAAGTCCATTTTCTAACATTCAACTTGTATGCCAGTCCAATTTTCACTCAAAGTGGGCACCGGTCCCTGCAGCTGTGGAAACCAGATGAATTTGGTCGCTTCTTTGCATTTTTAAAGGTGGTTTTTTAATTTTTTTATTTTACATCAGAAAATATGAACTAGTAAGATTATTTTCTAAAAATGTTTTCAGTTGGTTGATAATTTGACCTTCCCTTCGCAAAAAAAAAAGGGTTGAAAACTGGGTAGGTTAACAAATAGACTTAAACTACGCCGATTGCCTGTGAACCGTTCAGAACACACAATCATATCATATATATGTTCCGTGTGCATGTCTGCTTTAGGTCCACCCGTAGAGCAGCTTATGACCTGTTTTGATCCACTCTAAATTTTAGAGCTCTAAAAACTTTAGAGCATTTTAGCTCAGAGCATTTTAGTTTATTTTTTAGGGTGACTAAAATTTAGAGCTAAATTTAGATATATGTTTGCAAACTTTAACTCTAAAGTTTAGAGGTAAAGTTTCTAAAGTTTAGAGGTAAAGTTTAGAGGTAAAGTTTAGAGGGGTAGATCCAACAATGCCCTTATTACGATACATCAATTACAAAAAAAAAAAGCAGTTTACAAAACAAAATCAACTTAAAACATGATTCTAGAACTCAGTTGTAGAAATAAAAGGTCACACTCATATCGTATATGTACTAAGAAAATCCTCGTTAGTCAAATGAGTGCGCTCGGCATGTCCTCGATTACAATAAAAGATACAGGAGTAGAGATACTTTCGAGATAAGGTGCGACAAAATAACTACTAGAATATTATTAAAAAGTGAAGTGATGACCATGTGCGGATGCGGACCTTGGCGCGCCTTACGTTGACAGTGACGATTCGCTTGTTTTTCGTTCAAACCAAGATGATTTCTAAGCTAAATTAAAGCAGTGAACAAAATCCGAGAGCTAGTAAACCAGTGGTGAAATCGGCGCAAACCATCTACTAGTCCGCGTATATATACATGTATTCAGCCGAGCAGGTAGATTTGGTTTGCTACGCCTACCCACGCTCCGAGCAACCAACCAAGGATTCCGCACTGGACAACCTTATCCCAGATTGGGTGGTGCGTGACGGCACACATCTAATCTGCTATGGAAACCACCACGAACTCAAATGCTCAATCGTGGTTTTCTGGGGGCGCAAAAACAGCGAAAAAACGGCAAGAGAAGAGACAACTACTGTCTGAATCATGGACCATGCCACCACCATGGGAACCGGACATGGCACCGCGACGTACCTGGTACGCCGAGGAGCCGACGCCGAAAACGAACCCCGCGGGGAAGTCGGCCCTGGTGATGTCCGCGGCAGAGGCCCCCGCCGCCGCCCCGACGCCGACGCCGACCCCGAGCGCGGCCAGGAGGAGGAAAACAGCACAGCCGAACGCCTTCCCCATCATGTCCAGCGCGCCGGCCGGCCTCAGTGGGTCTCCTATCGGTTTGTTCGCCGGTCGGCCGCGCTCGCGGGGGGTGTGTTTTTATATATTTGAGCGTGGGCCGGGGCCGGCCGTCCGCGGTGGCAAACTAGGAAATTCCGCCCCGTGTCCGCGTGGCGCGGACGTAGTCGCTGACGTCGCGCGGAGAGGTCTCTACTGCCCGCCCCACCGGGGTTCGTTAGCGGCTCTGCACGTGGCGACTTCGTACATTGCGTTGCCGTCCGTCCTCTGGTGCGCCTCAGCCGCCTTGGCGCTTGCTTTGCTCGATCGGCGGCGCGGATGAACCGTACGTGTACCCGCGCGTGCAAGCGTATCGAGCCTCAGAACTCAGCGGCTCCAGCCGTTCCTGCATATCGCTGTTGTCCAGTGTCCACGTGTGAACAATGAACAGGAACCGCCGAACCTGGCGTGTGTGCAGTGCAGGTGGCGCCCATGTGGTCTCTTCCAGAGACAGACAGGAAGCCCAGCTCGATCCGCAGCTCGGTCGGGCGTTTCTAGTCCACTCCTCGCTGTTGTTTTTTTTTTCCCTGATGATCGAGACTTCCACTTACTCCCTCCGTCCCATTAAGTTTGTCGTTTGAAAACCGTGCCCCCCTCACAATCCCGCTTCCCGAGCGACAAACTCAATGGGACGGAGGGAGTATTCACCAAGAAATCTATCTAGAAGACGGAGTACAAATTCCCCTCCCTCAGCGTCACTTTTGACTACATGCCGCTGGTAGCTGCTAGGGTTTCAACTAGGATACGAATATTCAAAGCCATCGCCGACAAAAAAACGTGGCTTCACTCGTGACTTATTAAACAGCAGCAAAAATCCCAATTTGCACTGTACTACTACTTCGTCTCAACTTGCAGCTGATAGCAGATTGATGGTTCGTTTACATGTGTATAGTTCCATCAGACACAGTAAATGCATGTCGTCGTCTACACGATGTTTTATCCCCCATCGATCGAATGACCTCGGTCACTCGTGTATACTATAGTTACATCAGACAACAACCTAACAGCGCGCGTCTGCACACGAATCTGCTTATTCTTCACCAGCTAGATTATTTCCCACCGGACCGGCCCTCGGCGTGCGTGCTACGATAGCAACAATGCATGTGCTGTCGCCGTCGTCGTCGCTTGAGGGAGGCCGTCCGTCACGCGGCGTACGGCCTGACGTCGTCGGGAGCGGCGGCCGGAGCTCGCCGCCGCGGAGGAAGCCGGCGTATCAGCGCGCGGAGCTCCGCATGTAGCGCGTGCGCGCCCCGGCGTTCATGTCGACGCCGCACAGGCCGAAGCGCATCCTGTAGGCGAAGATGAACTCGAACACGTCCAGGAACGACCACACGAAGTAGCCCCGTGCGTCCGACCCGTTCCTGCATACGTATGCATGCATGCATGCATCCACATCACGGCCAATTCATTCGGGAACGTCCATAGAATCGAAATGAATCAACAAGGAGAATATGATGCACTGCACGCACCGTATGGAGAGGTACAGAACCTCCAGGTAGTCCTGCAGGAACTCGATCCTGGGCTCGTCGTCGTACTCGATCGCGCTCGGCGTGCCGGGGGCGTCTCCTAGTCCTGCAACAGTGCAACCGTACGTGCGTGCACGCAGCAAACACCACAAGAGCTCGATCATGCAGTCACTTACAGCACCAGTAGTAGTGTATACTAGGGGGCTAGACATATGTTATCTTGAGAACAACTTGTCAACAACTAGTGCTGTTGTGCCTACCGTTTTCATGGAACATGACCGGAGGGTTCCCGTAGTCGCCTCAGGTGCTCCAGCAGCTTCCCAAGCGCCCACGGAGGAGACTCGATCCGGCCCTACATACATGCCATCAGGAGTGCCCATCAGTGTCGATGTCACATGAAGAAATCTGTTACAACTTACTGTTAGATTGATCTCTACCACCGGTTAATTGGGTCCTTGGATCCACATCCTGATCGGGGGCGCCCAACCGCTCCATGATTGGTGGGCCCCCGTCGCACAGCGTCTTAAAAAGGGAGGTGGGGGGCCGGGGCACAGGGCACGAGAATCACCTGTGCCGCCAGACACCCCACCTACACCTCTAACCCTAAGCCGATCTAAGTGAGGGGGCGTTGCCATCGACGGAAAGCACCGACACCGGCCAACGCCGCCACTGCACCGCCGCATTTCACCGCCGGCGCCTCCACCGAGTCTCCACCGAGCACCGCGATGGCCAGCTCGTCTTCTGCGAAGGCGACCGATGGTTTGCCACCCTTATCCTACTCTCTCTCTCTATTTCCTCGCACTAGACCATGTTCTAGGGTTTACTATTTCATCCCAAATGTCAGTGTACATGCTAGATCTATGGCTAGTGGATCCTGTTATGTATCTATCAATGGTATCAAAATCTAACTAGGCGTAGATCTAGCTCATCGGGGTAGAAAACCGAGTAGAAGAATGTAGAAGGAGGGGACTCGATCTGTCAATTGGATTGAACCCCAAACCCCTAACCCTAACCCTAGAACGAATGGACGGAAGGGGGAGAGACCTACCCGGTTTCTTTTCTCGCCGCCGTCACCACCGCCGTCGCGCGGGAAGGAGCTCAGCCGCTGCCTCGTCGGCACGCGAAGAGAAGCCGAGCCACGCTCGTCGCCGTGAGCACGAGCCCCGGCCGAGGGCACCGTCACAGGACCGCTCAACGGTGGCGCACTCACCCACTGGGGAGCACGCGCTCCGGTGAGGGGACCCGTGGCGGCGCCGGACAGATCTAGGGTTTAGGGCGAGCCCGCCGCAGCGCGTGTGGTGGTTTAGGGCACCATCACCCAATCAGCTCAACGGCGGCGCGCTCAACCTAGGGCGAGCGCGCGCACCGGCGAGGGGATCGGCGGCGGCGCCGCTCCGCACTCCCCTTCTCCGGCGGCGCTGCGGGCGGCTATCAGAGCTGCTGCGCTGAGCATTGCGGCGAAGAGAGAAAGAGAGAGCGTAGGAGAGAATGAAATTAGGGTTAGGGCGCTCGGCCGCGGCGAGGCTTTTTATTTTGCCGAAGAGCGCGGATGGCCGTCGGAGGACTACGAACGTCTACGTTAGGCTGGACCTAGTTTCGGCCTAGGCGGGATTCGAAAATCCCGGCCCAGGCCCAGGTTGCGGCCTGGAACGCGGGGGAGCGCAGCGCGAGCGGCCTCCGTAGGCTGATTTCGCCTGCTGGGCCACGGGAAAGCGATGCAGCGCGCTAAGCCGAGCGCGGGCGCGCGTGCGCGATTTCATCAATGGACCGTGACTATTTCACCAGGCCAGGCCAAATAAACAGTAAACACAAACTTTTTGTTTTATTATTTTTAGAAATAAATTTTGATGATTTTTGTCTAGATTAAATCTCGGTCAAAATTTGAATCAACGGGATAATTTTTTCAGAGAGTAGATGAGTACAGTAAAATACTTCTGAAAAGTAGATAAATAATTTTTTATGTTTCCGCTGCAATATTAAAGTTTATTATCTTCTAATTAAATTCGAACCAATGGGAGAATTTAATTTGAAGAGCAGTTAGATTTTATTCAGTAAATTATGATATTGTTATTTTTCTAACCAACGTTGATAATAGCAATATTATAATGTTTATTCATAAGTTTTTCCATGCATTAATTCTATTTCTTTCCAACGGTGATGTATAATTAGTGTATTAATATGTTGTATGTTTTAATTTTGACAAACGTTAAATTAAGACATGCAATTATTATGTCAATTTTCTCACTATCTCTGATGGTGTTTTTTAGACTCAACCCAATGGCTTTTATCTCGCACATATCGCCTCTTGAAGGAGACAACTATAGGGTATAGCGACAGAAGTATGAACTAGCACTTACGCTATCTGAAAATGACCTAGCGCTTACCTTCCAGTGTCCTACTGAGCCAGTCGACCCAATGAGGAAAGAAAATGAGACTAATGCTGATTTCACTGCTCGACAGCGAGATCATGCAGAAGTGTGGATAAAATATGATCTCAAACGCAAGAAATGAGATATTTCAAACCGCAAGTGCTTGATGGTGGCTAAGTCCACTATTTCAGATGCGATAAGAGGGTCTATCCCAGATTGTGATACCACCACAGAGTATCTTAAGAAGGTGAAGAGTCAGTTCACTGGCTCTTCAAAGGCTTATGTCAGTACTTTGATCAACAAATTGTTCAATGAGAAATATAGTGGTGGCGGTATTAGAGAGCACATACTGAAGATGAGCAACACGGCTTTGAAGCTGAAGCCAATGGATTTAGGGCTTAAGGATGAGTTCCTAATTCATTTGATTTTTGCTTCCTTGCCTAAGGAATGAAACTTTTGTTGTTAATTACAACATGCAGCCTGACAAAAGGGATATAGAGAAGCTCATTGCAATGTGTGTTCAAGAAGAGGAGAGGCTGAAAAGCCCATAGGGTGACTCTGCTAACCTTGTGAAGGACAACAAGAAGAAGAACTTCAATAAGAATGCCAAACCTCATGAGAAAACCCCTCAAAATGACCACCATCAGAAGAACAATGCTCAAGTTGAGAAGGATCAGTGTAAATGGTGTAAGAAGCATGGACATTACCAGATGTACTGTCCAGACTTTCTGAAGAGCCTTCTGAAGAGGGGTGCATTCATAGATGAATCCTTGTATTTAAGTTTTGCAAAATCTACTTGGTGTATTGATTCAGGTGCAACTGTTCATGTTGCAAATTCATTACAGGGATTCTGTATGAGGAGGACCCAGCAAAAAGGAGAAAGAAAAATTAAAGTTGCAAATGGAGTTGAAGCCATTGGAGATCTCTCTCTAGAATTAGATGATAGTTTTAGACTACAACTTTCAGATATTCTTTATGTACCCTATTTGCGTAGAAACTTGATAAGTGTTTCAAGATTAGACGATGATGGTTATGATTGCCATTTTGGTAATGACAAATATCGGATTGTGTATAATAATAAGTGTGTTGGTCTTGCCTTCCGACGAGACACGCTTTATTTATTATCACTTTCTGAGAATGTGAATGCTGTGAGCACTGAGAATGAGAATTCTTCCTCGTATATGAATGCAAGTAATAAGCAGAAGAGAGTTCATGATACATCTTCAAAATTATGGCACTGTCGTTTAGGCCATATTTCAAGGAGGAGAATAGAGCGATTGATTAAGAAATCAATTCTTCCGCCTTTAGAATTTTTAGATCTAGAACAATGCATTGATTGCATAAAAGGAAAGTATGTTAAGAAAATAAAGAAAGATGTCAAACGAAGTGCAGGAATTTTAGAAATAGTTCACATAGACATATGTGGTCCTTTTTCTATGAAGAGTGTGGATGGTTATGATTCATTTATAACATTCACAGATGATTATTCTCGTTTTGGCTATATTTATCCAATTAAGGAAAGATCGGAAGCGTTGGATAAATTTAAGATATTTAAGGCTGAAGTAGAAAATCAGCACAACTTAAAGATTAAGGTAGTAAGATCCGACCATGGGGGAGAGTACTACGGTCGACACACCCCATATGGCCAAGTTCCTGGACCTTTTGCAAGGTTCTTACAGAAAAATGGCATAGTTGCCTAGTATTCTACACCAGGCGAGCCTCAGCAGAATGGAGTAGCTAAAAGACACAACCGTACCTTAATGGATATGGTGAGAAGCATGATAAGTTACTCTACCCTACCGATAAGTTTATGGATGGAGGCGTTAAAAACCACCATTCATATTCTTAATTGAGTGCCAAGCAAGTCGATGCCCAAAACACCATATGGGTTGTGGACAGAAAAGGAACCCTCACTTAACTATTTATGTGTGTGGATTGTCCAGCTGAGGCTAAAGTATTTAACCCAAACATAGGGAAGCTAGACTCCAAGACACTCAGTTGCCATTTCATTGGCTATCCAGAAAAGTCAAAAGGTTATCGCTTCTATTGTCCTGACAGACATATGAAGTTTGTAGAAATAAGACATGCCGTGTTCTTAGAGGATGATATAGTCAGGGGGAGCATGGTAGCGTGAGAAATTAATTTGGAAGAGAAGCGGGTATACGTGTCCACTCCAATGGTTCGGGAACTATTCTTCACGCTACCTGTTGTTGCTATACCAATAGTGCAAGACACTGTAGTAACAACACCTATTGTTAGCTCTCATGTGACAACAATGAATGAACATGAGAAACCTGCCGTTCAGGATCCCATAGAACCCATTGTCACACATGTGGAGGAGCAGCAACAGCTTCATATAGAACAAGCGTCATCTAATGAGGCCCCTAGAAGGTCTCAAAGACTCAGGAGATCGGTCATTCCTGATGACTACAAAGTTTATGAATGTGAGGAAGTTCAAATAAAGGGTGATCCCACCTCATTTGAAGAAACCATGAGAAGCTCTCACTCATCAAAGTGGCTTGAAGCCATGGAAGATGAAATAAAATTAATGAAAACCAACGGTGTTTGGGACTTAGAAACAATTCCTAAAGGAGCCAAGACAGTAGGATGTAAATTGGTCTACAAAACCAAATATGACTCCAAAGGGAATATAGAAAGATTCAAAGCGTGACTTGTGGCGAAAGGCTTCACGCAAAGAGAAGGTATAGATTATAATGAGACATTTTCTCCAGTCTCA